GCTGGTTGCACCAGCTCAGATAGTTTTTGACCAGCTGAAAGTAGAATATAGAGTAAGTGCACAGAATGAAGGTGGCATCTGTGCTTTTCATGTTTTAGTGCCTGGTTCTTCTCATTATATATCATATTTTTAGTCAAATAAATTTTAACATACTTATGTGAAGATGTTACCAATTGTGTAATCAATCACCACTCAGCAACTAGTCTTTTAAGTTCAAAGGTTGACCTACGATCTTTTAAGTAAGAGCTTTCGTGCTCCAACACTCAGGGACAATGTTATCTGGGCTGCATTTTCACAACTTCAGTGCGACTGTGAAGCGGTGCAACCCTTCAACAAGCAGACACATTCAAAAATATCATGATAAATCTATTTTTAGATGTCTCATTCCATTGGGTATTGAAATGTACTAGTGCATTTCTAATAATTGAACAATATTTTTTCTTTTTTTTTTTCCTATTTATAGGTAAGCAATTTACAGCCCAATCAAATAGCTTCCAGTTATTGAATAATGAACATCTTTTGTTAGACTAAAATGAATGTACTTCACGTTGCATTTATTTCTAGAGGTCAGTAAATCTTTCAATAATCCTTAAAGAGACAAGAAACACAAAGTTTGCCTGAAGGAACACTCTCAACTTAGCAAGAAACATTCTGTATGTGATTCCAAAGCAATTGTGGTGTCCTATAGCTACAGAAACTGAATAGACTGAGACATACAATTTTGGAGTCTATTTTGGTGTGTCATCTGTCTCATCACAAAAATTCATGAACAATTAGTCTTTTTAATATGTCTGCACCAAACATATAATAGTCTGAAATCCAACATTGAGTCTTAGTTTATGATAGATTAGAATGTCAGGAATCTGGACCCTTTTTATTCTATTGTCATTATCAGAGTCAAAAATAAGAAGTGAGAAGATATGTAAAAATATTGGTTTTGTCACTGTTCTGGAGAATTATTTCATTTCTCTGATATCTTCATTTCTTAAAAATTAGAACCAAATTTTGAAAGGAAAATGAGTAGTTGTATTTCTTAACAGTAACGATAAACACAATTTAAAGAGAAACCTATTCACATTTCCTGAAGCTACTTAAATTATTTCTATTGTAATGTTTCCTAAATTTCTACAAATATAAACTAAATTCTTATAACTTTAAATTCTACTACCAAAGGCAAATCTGACTGAATTGAATACAAGCAGAACTAAAAAAACCAATTACATCATAACTGTAAAGATTACTTTGATGTACAAAATCCATTTTGTTGAAACTGAATTGTTGCTCACAGTGTGATTTGTGAACCAATTCACACGTCTTTGTGATTGTGGCATATCTCTGCTACCAGGTGAAACTTAATAAGTGAGTTATTCCAACATTTTCCTGGAGTGAAACTACTGCAAGACACTTATTAATATATCATGTTCTGATATTATTTGGTCTTTAAATAGTAGTGGTGAATACCTTATATACAGGATCCTATTTATCATCTTACTGCTTCGATCCAGTTCACATAATACCATTTGGAACCAGGACAAACACAAACAGGAATCAAAGCTGGATAGCAAATAATTGCTACCATTCAAACCATTTTGCATTAAACTTTGACAGTATAAGAGGTTATTCTTCATGTGATGAAAAACAGACACTGACAAAGACTGAAGGGTGTGGGGGATTAAGATGGCAAATGATCCACTCATCAGCCTACAGGGACAGTGAAGACGCCTTGGTCACCCTGGTGATGTGTCCTGTCTTCAGTGATGCATCCTACAGTCCTTTCTGGATTAGTTAATATGTGTGTTGCAGAACGTACAAAACTGCAAACATATTAGAAACATCAATTTTGTATCTTTTCCTCTTTAAATTTTGTTATTGCATTAAAAATAATTCCAGCTAGCAGGAGAATGGGAGCTTGAATCATATATTAGGTAAGGTATCCTAATTTCCATTAACTGTCTTCTTTACTTCTTTGGACCAGAACACGTTCTCCCCATCTATGGTTTCATTTTTAATTTCTGTACAGTACCTTTGGGTAAACAGAACTTAAAAATTTTTAATTTAAAACGATTTAATTTTTAAGTTATAGAATTTTAGTTATCTTAATCTTTTGTCTGTGTATGCCATGTTTAATATACTCCTTTGTTTCATGGTCCAATATTTATTTTGCATTCATAACACCAAAATTTTGGTTTCCACATTGTTATGGTTGATACACTGTGTCAACTTGGGAAGTCTAGAGGTTTGGCTAAGGGACTCAGCAGTTCTGCATCTTGGGGTGAAAAGGACATGCCCTTACCCTTCTGGGATGTTGCTCATTGTGTCAATGTGAGAGGTTTAGAAGGTTAACTATGTGACTCAGCAGGGAGCCAGGGTACTTACTTTGTATTCATCCTGAGCCTGTGCAAGAGGAGGGCATGGAGATTATGTGAGTGCTACATGCTCCCAGGGTGGTGGTAGCCTGCTTACAATATAAGGGAGGGAAAGAGGCTTGCTCTTCTCTGCCATTCCTTCCTTTTGCTCTTGTTGCTCTGCTGTTTTCTGCCACTATGATCTGTTGCCCTCTGCCATGTGCCACCCTGCCTTGGAACCACCCAGGTATGGACTGAAACATCCACAAACTGTGAAGTAAATAAACCTTTCCTTCCTTAATTTTGGCACCAGGTTTTTTGTCTCAGCAATGAGAGAAAAGTAACCAATACACACATTTAAGTTTCAAAGCCTTTTATTGCTAATTTTTATGTGAGATACCAGTTATGAGATGAATTGTGTTTCATTGCCCCAAATGCATTTGCTGAAGTTCCAGCTCATTGGACCTCAGTGAGTGACCATCTTTGGAGAAAAGGTCTTTAGAGAAGAAATTATGCCAAGTGAAATAGAGTGGACCCTAATCCAAAAGTCTGGTATTTTATGATAAATACATGTAACCTGGACAGAAATCAAGAGGAAAGGTGACACAGGGTCACAATGAGAAGACAGCCTTCTGCAAGCCAGGGGGAGGGACTCAGAATACACCAAATCTGCTGGGCTCTTGGTCCGTAACCTCTAGCCTGCAAAATGGTGAACAAGTAAACTGCTAGGAAACCTGTTCCATCTCACTCCAGAAAAAATGGCCACCACAGAGAACTCAAATAGTAAAATACACTGGAAAGGATGTGTGTAAAAGTAAACCTGTCTACATTTTTGGTGGGAATATAAACTAGTACAACTGCGAAAAACAGCATAGAGATTGGTCAAAAAACTAAAACTAGAAATTCCATTTCACTCAGCTATTTGCTTCCCAGATATCTTCCCCAAACTTTTGAAGATGTCATATTTTAGTGATACATGCATACCCATGTTTACAGAAGCACAGTTCATAAAAGCTAAATTTTGGAAGCAGCTTCTATAATTATCAACCAAACAATATGTAAAGAAAAAGTGGTATCTACAAACAATGAGGTACTACTCTGCCATAAGGAAGAATAAACTTAGGTCATTCTTGAAGAACGGATACACCTTGTGACCATATGTTAAGTGAAATAAATCAGATGTGTGAACTTGAATATTACATGGCTTTTCTTGTATAAGAAACCCAAATTATTAATTGAAAAGCAAAAATCAGATGGGTAAGAGAAAGTGTGGAGATAGATCTTTCTCAAATGAGAAGGGAATTGAGAGGTGGAAAGATGAGTTGGAAACTGGATGAAAGAAAGGGAATTAAGATGCCTTAGGTACATGCAGTAACTCCCTGCCAAGAAAGTACACACTATACACTGCAAACACAGACTAATAAAGAACGAAAAGGAAAAGGACCCCCATGTGCAGGGTTTTGTTGCGGCAGTACCGGTGAACGGGTGCACCATCGTGTTGATGTTTTCCGCAGGCACCGCTGACTGTTCTGGGACCATTCGGACTCTTTCCTGTTCCTAATGCTCATGCACATCCTGGTCCACGGATCAGGTTTACCTTTATACAGGGGTATTTTTCAGGTCTCTAATCTTTTAGGTCTACTTGTCTAGAGCTGCCCCACTCCACACTGTGATAATCACTACAACTTGAAAAGGAAATATTTCAGTCAGAAGAAGCCAGAGTTGGAAGAAAGAATGTTCATTAGTAATGGAACTTGATAGCAGCCAGAGAAGGCAGAAGCAAACTCTTAAGTTAACGAGGAAAATTATTCTTCAGCCTATCTCTATATTTTCAGAAATACTACCTTTCAAGAAACAGGTTAAAATGGTATCAAAAGGCATATGTTTGAGAATAATTTCAAAGAAGAGACATAAGCCCCAAATAAGGGTCAGTGTTGTCAAAAAGCATACTTTACCTGTCAGAGCAGGGACTGGCCAACTGCTGTTCATCTCTGACCTGTAAGTGCAGGAGTCCTGCAGCTCTAAATTTAACCTCCCACAGATTTGCTTCCATCTCCAGAGATGTTATAAATCAAACCAGAATTCCCACCCCCCCCCGCAGTGCCCCCAGGGGTCTTAATGGAATCATGCAGGGAAACAAACAGACTTTTTTTTTTAACCCTTTGGGGTAAAATGTGAGCTGCTCAAGCAGAGAGCCAGGAATCCTCCTTCAGACCCCTGAGGGCACTTGAGAAACCTGGAGGGCACACCTTCCCGTCAGTACCTAGAGAGGTCCTTGCTCTGTCTGCTAGGGCCACAACCAGTGACCAAAGAGGTCAGCACGGTCTTTCTTTCTGGCTGATGCACCAGATGGAACAGCAAGCAGAAACACAGAAATGACAGGATTTAGAGGCAGATTTATTTGGAGGCGGATTTATTTACATTGACAGGCACTGATCGGAAGCATACCCAGACTATCATCAGACCATGATCTCTGATGGCCTAGGGCTTCTATGGGATAAGCAGACAGGAGGCACAGAGGCAGAAAGGCTTGTCCTTTGGGGATTGGTTCTTACAATATACATCACAATGACCAGCTGTGCATCACAGTGTCCAGCTGTTTCTAAGAAACACAAGTAACAGGAACTGTAACAGGAACTGTTAGCTGAGGAACCAGCAGACTGAAGTATACTGGCTGGCGGGGAGCATCTTCTGCTATAGTCTGAAGGTCTTCCATTCCTCTAAGGAAGAGCAATCCATTCTACCTGGACAGGTACAGGGCGGACACCCGGGCTGATTGGGATGATCATCATAGCTCTTTAAGAATGTCTTATCCACTGTGGATTAAACACCTGGGCCTTGTAGACATGAAAAAAATAATGCCTATTTTAGAAACAAGTAAACTGGAATGGTTTTGTTTCACAAAAACATGAACATTCATTCTCCTTAATTTTAAAAATATTTTTATTAGTACCTATTTGGATTACATAATGATTGCATTTTTGTGTGGAGTTGTTGTGTGTACAAACGCATCTCAGTGTTTTTTCCTCTACTCTAGGTTCTCTTTCCTTTTGTTTACTCCTTTAATTCCTCTTTCCATCCCCTTCCTTCCCCTCCTTCCTTCTCTCATTCCACTTCCAATTTGAAAACATCCCCTTCTTTATTTTTAAATGTTATAAATATCTGCAAGTTTAAAAGTCTTGGAAATAACAATGTGTATCAGAATTAAAAAAAGTAAATCAATTTATAAAGTTATAAGGATTTTGCTGTCTTAGTAACAACTCTCAAAGATGGCTAGTTATTCCTCGCATTATTTTCTGGACTTTTGAAACTTGAGCTTAATAAATCCCCGTTGTGGGATTTATTAAGAGTGAAGCAATAGTTTTCATTCAGCTTTCTCCCTCTTACTCATTTTCTCTGGCTTGTTGCTTCACATTGCTAGTTACGTGGTTAGAAATTCTACTGGACGACTTATATGCCTGGGTGTTCACATATTTGCCCCCCTGGCAGTGATAAGTTAATGATTTTAACATTTTGTATCCAAACAAAATGACTTTTACTCACTGTGGAGTGATTAGTAACATATATATTCAGGATCCTTCTCTGAAAATAGGATGATATTACTTTTACCATCTTCTTTTTCCATTTTATATAGTAAATATATAAGATTATTATCAAATAATTTTATTTTCAAAAGTGTGATCATGTAACTTCTGATACTTCATCTGTATTTTACCATTAATTTCTGAATATATTATTTCTTAAATCTTCCTGTGTACAGACACACTAAAAAGAAAGTTTCAATACAAACATGTGGTTTATAAGTAAATTAGTAAAAGTTCTTTATTTTTACAATATAAGGAACAAAATTGCTGCTTTATTTTCCCATTTAGAATGATTAGTCTCACATAGACTAGAACTACTTCATAGTGTCTCTATGGAATGATAATAATTATTTAAGAGTTCCTATGTAAAAATTCTCCTTAAGAAATGATGGTTAAGGAATAGTGAATAATACAGGATGATATAAGATCTCTCAGGAACTTCATGACTTGTCCTTTATTTTTCATTTTACAAGGCTGAATGATTTTCAATATTTTTAGTTCACAAAATTTGAGTACTTTCCTTTTTGGTTTTTTGAGACAGGGTCTTGCTATGCAGTTCAGGCTGACCTTGAACTGAGGAGGATTGAACTCACAAATGTACTCAACCTGCTGAATGCTGGGATTACACACTTGTGCCACCATGCCCAGCGGAGTACATTTATTTAAAGTTGTATTTTTCAGTAGAGATACTTTCTTACCAATGTTGTGTGCCTGTTTTTAGTGAAAACTGCTGAAGTGTGGTGAATATAAATAAACATTTTCCTTTTTAGGGAAAATCTTATTTTTTCCAAAGTACCAAAGTTTATTTATGTTTGCTACCATGTCATGGTAATTTCATTTGCAGCAAAGTCAAAATTCTATGAATATAACCCAAGCCTGTGTTTAGTGTCCTCAGATGTTTTCTTCTGCTGTATTTACCATGAATTCTATGCATATTAGTCAACTTTCCTGTTACTGAACACAACACCTGACACTCAAAGGAGTAAAAGTTTAGTTTAGTTCATGGTTTGGGGAGGGTCTATCCATAGTCAACTGGATCCACAGCAGGAGCAACAGAGCAGAAAGGCATGGTAGAGCAAAGTTGCTTAGCTCATGGTGGCTGGGAAACTGACCCAGGGAACAGTGTGAGGAAAAGTCGGGCAAGGGGCCATTTACAGTACCTAGAAACATGCCTCCACTGCCCATCCCCCAAATTCCTGAAGCCCTACTAACCTGCTAGGTAGTTCTTAATCCAGTAAAGCTGACATCAGAATTAATGGTCACAATCCATTCCCTGTCAACTTCAGACACAAACACCTCTTTAAACCATACTTAATCTCCAAATAAATGCAGTAATATGTTGATAATCTCTAACATGATGCAGATATCCTGTGTACAACTGACAACACAATAATCCCTTCCCCAAAAGTCTCAACAATTTCAGTCTTCTTCAGAGGTCCAAGTTCGAGTCTTTTTTGAGACTCAAGGTGAAGTCTTCATTGTGAGCCTCCCTAAAAACAGAAAACAAGTTACAAATTCCAAAGGTACACAATAAAAGGGAGGAATAGGAGAACAGAAAAAGAATTGGACCAAAGCCAGACTGAAGACTAGTCAGACAAGCATTAAACCGTGTAACTCCATGCCCAACATCCAGGTCACATGGTAGTACTACTGAGCTCTGAAGGTCATGGGTGGCCCTAGGACCCTGTTTGCAGCTCTGCTGTCTCTTTGGTCTGGCTCCATTCCTGGCCTGCTAACTTCCATGCCTGACGTTCCATGTTTCTGGCATCTCTGACTTCTTGGGGCTTGTACTTCTTCAGCTTCATCCCCACTGCTTCCGTATTGCTCTCTCAGGGGCTCCTTGCCTGGTCTCCTAGGACTTCCTTTCAAATCTTGATGGAAGCTGCCCTAAACTCTCGATCCTACTTTCTGCCTGCCAGTAAGACCAGCATCATATGGATAGCATGAAGGTTTTCTGCCTGTGGAAATGGAATCCAGGACCCTTTTACCATGGCTGTAGCAGCTTCTGGGCCTTTTTTTTTTTTTTTTTTTTTCTTTTAAATGGCACTGATTTATTTAAGCAGCCATAGCTCCTTTAGAACCAGCTCTACTCTCAGTACTGTCTGGGCCAAAAGTTGTTTACAAGTTTGTTTTGTCTTTTGCTCTCTATTTTCAGTGGAACTCCAGCTAAAAGCAGTCCACTACCTTTAATGTCAGTCACCTACAAAGTCTGAAAACATAAAGAAAATGTAGCCAAATTTTCTGTTAAAGAGTATCAGACATGCCCTGTAGTTCAACTGCCAGTAGATTCCTGTTCCCAGCTGAAACCTCCTGAGCCTGGCCTTTACTCTCCACATTTCTAACAGCACTCTGCTCTACTGAGATTTGAGCAGAATCATCCATTAGGCTCTGCAACACTGCAGGTTTTCTCCAGTCATAGCAGTGAAGTCGACATATCAGGGTCAATATTCACGCTACGTTGTAAGCCTTGTGGCTAGGTCACTTGCGATTTTAGGAGCATTGAGTAAGAAGCTTTGGTAACATTTGGATTCCTCCTTTCTTTCTCTTTTTCTTTCTTCCTTTCTTTCTTTCTTTTTTACTATTTTTCTTTCTTTCATATGTGAATCACATGAAACACTCTTCTTTTTATAAATTATAGAGTATATAAATGGCAAATTCTCATCAGTACAAGTCTTTCAAAACTTTGTTTTACCATTTATAATTACTACATTGTTTTGGATTTTTAATACAATATTTATCAGAAATGTTTTGTTTGACTCAAAATTGAGCAAAAATTTAGAGAGTTCCCATATACTAGTGTCAACACACATAAAAAGTTCCCTATTATTAATGTCTTTTACCTAGTTAGAAAATGTGCTATAAATGGTGAACCTACACTAACTCACAGAATCACCCAAAGTCCAGAGTTTATATCAAGATTCACTCTGGGTGAGGATTCTGTAGCTTTGAGATTGCTTAAAATTCACAATACCCAGTAGAGTATTTTCACCACTTTCAAAATCCTCTGTCCTCTGTCCATTCATGAGCATGGCAGTTGCTACTTTTTCTCTCTGAGCATACATTCCCAATGCAAGACTTGCCAATTTAAAGGGGAAAATGTTGGTCTAATGGCTTTTAGAATCACCTGGGAAACTTATGAAAATAACTGTTTCTTGGGCTGAGCTCCAATTAAATGAAAATCTCTGTGGGTGAGGACTTAGGAGTCTGAATTATATGTGAGTTCCACAGTAACTCTCAGATACAGTCCCTTGAAGAGTTTTTCATTACAGGAATTAGTGTAAAAGTACCAGCCTGCTTAAAACTCAGTCGAAACCCTGGTCAGTGTCTGAGACACTTATAAAGATTGTCAAAGGTTTGCACATACTTCCTGTGCTTCTCCACAGTCCCAATCCTTCACTTTCCCCCCAGTTACTCTACTCTATGGGCAGAGCTTCCTCTGCTCCTGGAAAGAAATGTCACATGCTTTTGAGGTATGTTCTGTGTTACACAGGATTATGCATCTTCTGAGATTCTGCAGCGGGTAACCTTCAGTGATTCAAGGTGGAGTAAACACATTAGTCCAGAGTAAACGGAAGTCCTCTTTATTGCTCACAAATATTATTGCCAGTTAACATGGGTACATCTGTCAGAGATTGATAAATGCATTTCTTTTTCCTCTAAGTTATTGTATTATTGCTAACTTGCAGTATTTTTATAGCAGAATTCAGTAGCTATTGTCTTATGTACTGTGCATGACTCATGTTATTTCCTATCTCAGCAAGTGATGTGCAGTGTCTACTTAAGATAACAGTATAAAAATACAAGGAAAGTGGGGTTTCACAGGCAGCAGGACAGTCCCAGCATCAAACTCACACTTATCTTCGTTGACCAGAGATAGAGCTGACTAACCCCTCTGAGAGGGATCAATTTCATGGGAGACTCTGAAAGTGGAAGTCAGAGAAAAAGGAAACAGGACATGATACATAGATAAGCTTTTATCTCATTAAGAAATGTCTATTATTTTCTTAGTGAAAGAAATGATTCTCCCATGGGGCTTATTTTGAATTGTTAATTTTACTCATTACTGGTTTTCTGGTGCTTATTTTTCTACCTCCATTAAGGTTCTAAGCCTCAGAAAACTCTTCAGAGCTTGTGGCTGTTATTTGAGAACATTCTCCAGCCCCAGCATTTTTTTTCTGTTGAGACATTTCTTTTTCCAGTGACCTGTGGTCTAAGAACAGGTAAGCAGGCACACAGGAAAAAACAAGACCCGGCTAACGATGCACCTGCGTATTTTGTGAGGCTAACATTATTCAAGAGCCTAAAAACTAATGAGTTTCCTCCTGACTGAAACTTTCAGATACTCACTCACTGTTACAATGGTGCTTGAGCATTTCACTTATGGCCACAGCTCATTAGAATGCAAATGAAGAGGGGATTGAGCGAGCACATTCGGAGCCTTATTAAGTCGGGATTAGCTCAGGCAGCTTTTCTTGCAGGTGTCAATTTGTCCTCTCAGACATTAACAACATATACAGCAGATCTAAGCACGGCTATTGTTCACAGAACCTTCATATGGGTATGAGCTGCACTTGATGTGCACATTTGTGAATTCCTAACAGGCAAAGTTCTGCTGATCCTCCTGCTCACCAGACAGTAAAGGTGCATGGATAACATTCTGGGGATAAATGGGCTCTTCGTGATTGGGGTGTGTCAGCGTTTCCAGCCCTGCTCATTAGCTCTGCCACACGTGCTCCCGAGAGCAAACCAGCCGCTGCTCCTCATGCTGGGCTCCAGGACAGCAGTGACAGCAACTGGAAGGTGAGTGGAGCTCACCCAGACAAGCGGCCTGGAGATAATTAACGATTTCACACAGGACAAATATTTACAACGAAAAACAATATTGCTAAGACTATCTTTTTTCCAACTAATAGCTCCAGAACATTTTAACATAATTTCAGCCATTAAATGTAAAAGAAATTCTCATATGTGTATGGTTTTCCATATAAATTGTGGAAGGCTTTAACAATTATTCCTTCTCCCAATTCTGGCAGGTGCATGAATATTACATGGCCCTGCCCTGGTCCCTATTTGCTAACTTTGCTACCGCCTTTGCTTGAGGCTAGAAAGACACCTGGTCTGTGCTTGTGACATGAACTCCGAGGTTGTTTTTATACTTAAAATGACTTATGGGAAAAATGGGTGAGGGCAGTAGGGGGAAGAGATAAATATTCTCATCGTCTGTATTGTGCAAAAGAAGCATAATGTAGGCAAAGAAAATCCACAGGTAATCAAATTCTATAAGTTGTATACATCTGTTTCATTGCTTATTTTTTCTTACAAAAGATGTGCAAATGAATGGCTGCAGGTTTTATTCATTTTCTGTTCTGTCATCTCCAGCTTTTCCTTGAGTAGGCATGAAATGTGCAAGAGTTCAATAGGTGCTGAAATGTCCCAAAGCATCTAGCTAATCCAGCAGAGGTTAAAGAAATGAAGAACCACCTGACACCCCCCCACACACTGATGCAGCGGTGAGCTGCTGATCATGCCCACGTCCACTGCAGTGGTTTGGAGCTGGGATGTGTGCCTTGCTCTCTTCAGGAGTATCTGTAGGATGTGGCAGCTGATCAACTCGTCATACTGTTCTCCCAGCAGAGGTTTTGCATTTAGCAAATCCACATATGCTGTGCCCTACCAGAGAGGTGGAAGTGATATTTTACCCATGTAGCTTCAGGCTCTATTCTGTGAGAAAAAAAGTGGTTCTCAGCCTTCCACCAGTGTTTATAGGAAGAAGAGCCCTGGTTAGACTTCTATCACCGCGTTACGCACCCCTGTGCCTGAGGTTTCTCCTGACTCATCTTCTCCGTGAGATCCGGTGGAGGTCTTCGTAGAGTGTCATTCTCCCCACTTCAGTCTCTCAATCTGAGCATTTTCTCTAGGTTAGTTTACATAGTTATATGGATAATTTTCAGTTGCTAATGTCTGACATAGGGACAAAAGTAGATCTTGGTTTTCAGTAGTTGCAGGAATCGTTAGGGAAAAGAGCATGGAGGAAATACCCCTGTGCTCCTTTGGTTTCAAGGAATCAGGTGAGGTTCGGCGGAGAGCTGCCCCAAAGCTTTATTTGAGAACCTCTCCTCTGTTCACAGTGCCCTCAGGGTGAGCACTTCCCCTAGGCTTGCAGAAAGAGAGTGTTCGGGATGGGATGAGATGGGATGTTTCCAGGTTTCTTGGAGCAGAACAAGGTGAATTTCTCAGGAAAAAAATGGAACTTAATGATGTGGGAACTGAGCACTCTGTAGTGCAACATGTCTAAATTCAGGCTTTAGATTCTATTACCCAAAATATTTTCCTTCTATTTTTCTCAATTGCAGAAGTCATTTTTGTAACTACTAATCATGATGTGTCAACTTTATTGAGCTAACGCATGCCCAGGGGATTAGTGAAGCGCACTTCTGGGAGTGGTGGGTGGTCATGGGGGTGTGACCTGGGGTACCACATATGTGGTCCTTGGTCCCTTCTGCTCTGGCGCTGCTCCCCTGACCTGTGTCCTTGTTTCACTGAACAAGCTCTGCTTGGCCACACCCTTCCACGGTGATGTTCCTGCCTTGGAGCCAGGGCCCTACAGACTGAACCCCCTGAAACTCTGAGTTAAACTAAGCCTTTCTGCCTTCAAATTGTGGGTGCTGGGTGTTGTGTCTGAGGGACAGAACGCTGACTATTAGATTGCTTAATGGGTAGAAGATCATTAATTTGCCAACAGTCACCTTGATTTCAAAACAGGAAAATGTAGTCTTAAGAGGACATCAAATTTTTTTTGAAAAGGTGCACTATTTTGGTGCCTGGTACAGCCACAGGTGCTTCATGTGTATTATCTAAATTCTGACCAAAATCCCAAGCTTTTAGTTACTATGACTCAGTGCTTCCTCATGGTATAAATATATGAACATGTAAAAAGTTAAAAATGCTCACTTCTCGAAAGATAATTTTTTTGCCTATATCATTTATCACACTATACACATTTCATTAAGAAGAGGATTTAACTAATTCTCATTTGTTGAGGCATAGTAGTTGCCATTTTCTAATGGGTGACATGATAAACGCACTTGCAGCCTGAAATTTAATGTATGTCTAATTTTGCATTTATGTCTCAACCTCTCTGTCTGAGGAATGCAATGAGGGAAGGAAGAGGGGAGCTGGGATGCCCTCAATGACATCTGACACATACGTTGTATGTTCATGGAATTTGATTTTATTCTAAGACTTAGAGAAGCATTTTGGTTAAAAGAAAATATATTCGTGTAACTCAGAGTGTTGAGTGTCTGCTCCATCTATGGAATGGCTCTGAAGGGTGCGTGAACCAGACATGTTTCCTGTGTCCCTCATCATCTCTCAGCTGTGTGCAACTCCAAGTATCCTTCTTAGTTTTTCCTGTCAAAATACCATTTCTTCTCTGTCCTCACAGCCTTTGAAAATTTTACCTTTTCTTTCCAGATGCACACAAAGAAAACAATCCGACATCTCCACATCATGCTTTTTAATCTTGTCTTTGAGATGAAAGTCTAGTGAGAAACTCACAAAGTAAGAGCTCTGTCTCTCAGGCAGCGTGCTGGGTCATACTGAGAGCACAGCTGAGAGAAGGTGGATTGCCCTGTCCCAGGGCCACACTCGCGGTGAGACCTGCTGCGCTGACGGAGTGAACGATCGATGGACTGAGACCCACCAGGACATCTGAGGCAGCCTGGAAGCTGTCTGCAAATGTCAGACTTGTCACTCGGCAAATGGTATTTAAAAATTTTTTGATTACAGAAAAATCAAACAGTGACACTCGTGAATGCATTCAAATCATGTCACAATTACACTCAATCAAACGTTATTTACAAACACCATTCAATTATATCTCATTTCATTTCTCAACTCAGTGAGTTCCCAGACATCATAAAATTATAAATGTTCTAGTCTGATGCTGTCCTTCATTTAGTCTGCAGTATTTCCCTGAGGTTTAAAATGTGTGCAAAAACATAAACATATAAGTTCAGAGCTCAATGAATCAAAAAATAAACAAAAAAAATGCATGTGGTGGGTATTCACACTAAGAACCAGCATTCTCAAAATTGAACTCCCGCAAAAATGTGCTCCTGCTTGCAAAGCCTTTCCTTGTCATGAATCCGGCAAACACACAGCCAGTCCTGGGGCTTCAGGAAGGCTGCCTGGCTGCCTAGTGCCTCTTACCATTCGGGGAGCACAGGCCACCTGGTCCAAGTTATCTTCCAGGTCTCTCATGCTTACAAAATACATATCTAGCGACGTTTTCCTCTCGATCAACTTTGAAGCTCTTGGCCTCTCATAACTCCTCTAATTTACCTGGTTTGATAAAACATCTTTTGTGATTTCTCACTATGGGATTTTCACTGGGTAATGAGGAGTGAAACTAAACACTGTATATATTTGCGGTTTTTGTTTTTGGTTTTTCTCCCGTACCGGGAACCGAACTCAAGGCCTTGCGCATGCCAGGCAGGCGCTTTTGCCCCTGAGCTAAATCCCCAGCCCCACTGTATATGTTTGGAAAGAAATGTGTATGACCAGTGTATTAACAACATGGATATTTTAAAATCAAATTGTAAGCACTGAGAAGAAAAACAATTCTTTACACTGAGGAACAGTTTGGACAGAGCATGACTATCCCGATCATACAAGGATGTAAAACTGCAAGTTTATGAACTTCCTGTCCCCCACTACGGTGTGGAGTGTGACTTCGAAAAGATAAATGGAAATGGAAATCCGTGTAGTGGTTGTGTCTAAACTATTTTGGGTGGAAGAATTAAAATTAAGCTAAATGAAATATGTATCCTCAAAGAGGAGATATAAGAATTTCAAAATCTGTTGTTAAAATCTGGTTGGAAAAATGACATCAATCTATTCTTAAGCTTACAGTAGTATCAAGGTGAAAATATTAATCTTTTGTCAAGCTGTTTTCCTTTTAGATGTTTTACTCATATTTGTAAGAACTTGCTGATCAAGAAATTAAGAATTTCATTATAAAATTGTTCTTTTAAGCATGTAAAAATTAGTGAAAATAAGAGCAATGAAAACATTAAAATAAAGGCAGGGGATGTAGCTCAGCCGTGCAGAGCCTGCCTGGCAAGCACAAGACCCTGAGATCAATTCCCTATATATAAAAAAATTTCAAGTATTTTTACAGGTGCAGTTTTTACATTTTTTATTGGAATCTCTCTCTTCAGCATATGAAAGTATTGAATTGAACAGAGAAGTTCATGATAGGAGTTTAAAAATCAGAATGTGTGTGTGTGTATTTGTGTGTGTGATCATGTGAGACACTACAGAATATTTGGTGATTCTTTCAGGGTGTTTGTACTTTCTAACAGGTTAAAATAGCTTTTATTTTAAGTGTATGTGTTTCTGTTTTCTTCAGCAGATCACAGTTATGGGTACAAATGGAGTCTAGAGATGTGAGAAGCATTTGTACTGGACGCCTGCAGAAGGACACTCTAGAAAGCATAGATTTGTCCTGAGGGTCAGAGGTGGGCTGGTGGGGAGGTCGTGCAGATAGAGGCTTGGGCACTTGTAAAAAAGGGGATCTTGTGGGAGGAGCTATGTTACATGTGAAAGGAATAATAAATATTTTACTATAACAAATTTTCCTGAGAATGCTGATAGGAATTTTCTGGCTCTTCAAAAAAGTGAATTTAAAAAAGAAATGACTGTTCACTTAATGTTTTATGCCAGAGTACTGCAGAATTAATGCTAGCATCTACTGTTACAATTCTCATCCTAAAACAATACAAATCACAGTTTTTCTTCAAGACAGTCAGACTTCTGAACAAAGGAACACAGCTCAGCCCATCTGAGGGACTTTGGAGTGCACCTGCAGCTCAGCGGCCATCGGAGAGGTGGCTTTGTGATCAGAATCATAATGTTTAAAGACCAAACTCTTAGGGACTTACAAGAAAAACAGATTACAGCAGGACTATGTGCTTTCTCTAAAAGGATCAAAATTAATTTTCAAAACATTCCCACTAAATTGAGGTCACAGACCAATTTTATTCAACATTTACAGACACTTCCAGTCTTAAAAAAAATGAGTGAACTTTCTAGGTGGAGACAGGAATCACCGTCAAGCAGCTTTCATAATCGTAGTCATTGCCCCCCTGCTCGCGCTGAGACGGTTCACTGAAGGCTGGGTTGTCACAGACAAAAAATATTGATGGTTATCAGGAAGCATTGGTAGAGACTGTTTTCCACGGAAAATGAGGGAAAACTAACTAGAATAGAATGTCCACACCAAAAAAATTTAAAAAGTACATTTGTTTTTTGGTTCTAGAAACTACTAAAACATTTTAGGGGTGGGTTGTACAGCTACATAGCAGGCTGAGTGAGTAGGAGTAAGTATTGTTTCTGGATGAACAATTGGAATTATAGTACACTGAGAAAATTACATTCCATTTATAAACCCATTCTGAAAGAGAGGAATGACACACAGAGCAGGGTGACACTGCCTCCGATTAGAAGCACTTCCTCGGAAGTCCTCCAACTGGAAGGGCAGGGCGGACTTTTTGAGCTGTTAGCCAGGTTCTTCCGGGAACAAGCACCTCTGCTTGCTGGGCACACTGCTCCCTTTAGATGCCCAGCACCCGCAGCTGCACCTGCTTCCTGTTTCAGACAGAGTCTGCCACAGAGGCCTCCTTGGAGCGAGAAAGAGCACAGGCACCTTGCGCACATCTTCACAGAACAATAACAAACTTCTTCATTTTAGTACTGAGTTCTCCACCCGGAGGTATTCCCTTCTCTCCTTTTTTGTGTTTCTGACAAGTTGGAGAGTATGGCATCAAACTGAGTGTGCCCTGGTGTGCCTGGCTGTGCACCCTGCACGCAGACATCCCTCTAGCAGTCTCCCTGCAGGAAGATGTGGAGCTCCCCCAGGAAGGCGCTGCCTGTCTGCTCAGGAGATGCTGCTTTGTGAGTCATCCTGCGTCCTCCTGATCAGATGCAAGTAGTCACCCTCTCCACGCTCTTTCCCTGATCGTTAGACTTGTTGGTTTGACACTTGCCAGGAAGGAGACTCAGTGCTTTCAGTGAAGACTTGGCAAATGGAAAGCACGCCAAGGACATTAGGGTGATATCAGAGACCCCAATGTGGACCCTAATCTCCTGCCAGGTGTTATGCGCACGGTAGAAAGAAAGAGCAAAAGAGAAGATGGAGGTGCAGCGGGGCTCTGGGATGGCCAGTTGTCCATGGGAACAAGAGGCCACGAGGCAGCCAAAACCTCAGTATTTACTGATGACATTCACACTGAGAAAATGGTGAGGGGATTGTGGCTGGATGTGCTAGATAAATGTCTAGGCAGGCAAGGCTTGTAGTAGAGAGAACAAGCATTCCTGTGAGGATGAGACAGGGACAACAAGGAGACTGTAGTTTCCCTTGGTGAAACGTTTTGTTACTGCTAGTCCACTGCTTAAAGATCCTTGTCGTCCTCAGCAGGTCTCATTCTGCCCCATGAGCACCACAGCCTCACTGGCAGTAGGGCTTCAACTGAGACCAGAGGAAAGTGGGGAGTTTCCTGGTTCCAGTCTGGCTCACAGAGCTGTATAAGGACGGCCTCTGACATCCTTTAGACTCTGTATAATCAGTGGTACCCAGCAGGGTGAGGCCGCCAGTGGGGGCAAGCCAGCCCTGCTGCTCTAGGAGATTAGAGTCAGGGCAATGGGGCCATGTACTGTGGATGTGAAGAGTAGAAACTGCAAATGAATATTTGAAGACCAATAACTTTCATGAAATTGCACACCAGGAAAACCTGTGAAGCAAAAAAGGGAAGCTTTTTGTGGATTTGGATTTCAAATTCATACCACATGTTTCCTGTGGGTAATTCCAAACTGAGAAACTAAACATTGTGTCAGAGCACATGACACAATCTAATTAAAACCTCTTCCGAAAAAACATACACAGTATTGGTCTAAAAATATTCCAAATTAAAAGAAAAAATATGAAAAGGCATGTTGGCTTTTATAGAGCAGCTTCTACAAGACTTAAATCCCAGTTGTCTGGAAGTGTCACAGAACATCCAAGGTAGCCAGATTTGAGTTTAAAAATATCTCAGATAAAGGAAAATACATGGTGGAGACAATAGCATTTTGCTGCCTTGATCATTCACTAATTACAGGGGGCTGGGCCAAGTGACCAAGCCAACAGAGGCACCCAGCACATCAAAATGTCTGCCTGTCACATTGTCCTAAAAGGACAGACTTGCAAGGCAAGCAGGTTAAAAACAGGCAGCAACAGAGATTAAAACTCAGGGAAAAAGAAACTTAGGGAGAAGCAAACTGACCATTAGGTGGTGCTCCCTTCCTCACGGCATTTGCTGAAAGCTGGAACAACACAGTGAGAGGCCACACTGAGCTGTGGATCCATCTACTGAGCTGGAGACACAAAAGTTAGCACTCAGGAATAACCAGGGGAGAAGTCATGCATAGGCACAATCAATTAACCCCGGAAAAAGGTCCAGTTGAAATACTCTTGCAATATAAATATAAAATATCTCCAAAGTCTCATATATTAAGGGTGCTACCCAATACAGCAATGCTCACAAGTAAGTTGTGGACAAGTAGGTGGGTCGGGAGGGCACTGACCTCATCAAGTGGATTAATCCATTGTGGCATTCAGAGCAGAAGGGGCCATTCAGAGGTGGGCTTGATAACTGCAAGTGAGTTCATTGAGAGTGGCATTCATGAGAGACCAAAAGAGTAGGAACGGATGAAGCTTTATTGAGCCGGCTGACAGACAGTCTCTAACCAGGAGCCAGTGAAGATGTTCACCTTGATCTGGGGCTCACCTTCAGTTTAAGCACACTTTAGGTTTTCATAGTAACCATTACCTCATTTTGGGGAATCTTATAAGAATGCACAAAGTTTACCTTCTCTGGAGCTGTTGGACAGCCATATTGTAGATGACCATCACAGTTTAACTTTTGCCTGCTTCCCAAACTGTCCTGCTTGTTCTGTTCCCAATTTGTGACTTTTCTCCCCTTTAGATGGGTTGGTAACTAACCAAGGGGAGGCAGTGAGGAGTGGGGGCCAATCACAGCTTAAGTGAACTTTAAGTGGCTTCTCTTAATGTGGGGTTAAAACAGAAAGTGGAGTCTCTTTTACCTTGTTAGGGTTCAGTTGGAGGTGGGTCAGCACGCACATGCCTAAGCAGGGTCGACCTCTTCTGAGGGTCTTTCTCTGCCTCTGCTTCCGAGCTCCTGTGAAGCAAGTAGCTTGGTTCCTCTCCTGTGGTCTTTCTGCCTTTCAGCAGCTCAGCCTGGACTTCACTCTCTGAAACTATGAGCCTTAATCGTCCTTTTCTCCTTTAAATCATGCGTGTTGGCTATTTCATTCCAATGATGGGAAAGTGACTATGACAGGATCTCAGTGAGTAGAGAACGTTAGAGATTGGTCCGTCCTCACAGTGGTGGAAATTTGTCTTACTCATCTCAACCATTGATTAGACTAAGAATTGTTTCTATTTTATAATTTGAGCATAGACAAATAAACCATCTTTGCAGGAGAACCATATCACATGGGCCATCTACCTTACTTTATATGCAATAACTAGCATTCAAAGCATGAAAGGAGACAAAAAGAAATGTCTAAAAATCTAGGAAAAAATTGGCAAGAGACACAGACCCTGAAGCAAGTAACCATAGCACTAAAAACTATTTTGCTGGGGCTGGGGATTTAGCTCAGCGGCAAAAAGCGCCTGCCTGGCAAGCGCAAGGTCGTGAGTTCGGTTCCTGGTACCGGAGAAAAACCAAAAAAAAAAAAACTATTTTGCTGAAGATGTTCAAAATAACAGATGGCAAAGTAGAGAATTTCAATCTATAGTAAATTTAAATCTATAGTACCTGAAATTTAAATCTATAGTATCTATCAAAAAGAATAAAATTGAAATTAAAAACTGAAGTACTTAACTTGAAACTAAAAATTCAAAAGATATGATTAGTATTTCCAGATTAGACAAAGCAGGAAATAACTGGAGAACTACAAAATATGTAAAAAAAAATAGAGATTAAAATATAGAGAGCTGGTGAATAAAATCAAAATATGTGTCCTTATAATCCCAAAAGAGGAGGAGATATTTTATGGCCCAGAAGCTATCTGTTAAGAGTTAGTAATCAAGAATGTTCCAAGAGTTGAAACACATGAAGGTGTGTTTAGGAAATTTTGGAAATTTTGAAACCTCAAATAAAATAAACCCAAATAAATCCACAGCTGAATAAGAACAGTATGGTTCTGCAACTCAAATATGAAGAAATCTTTTAAAAAGTCATGTAAAAACAATAAGTAATACAGATTGCAAAGAACCAGCATTAATTTGACAAATATGAGTTCAACAGCAATAAAAGAGAAAAATCTCTTTTATTTATTATAGTTGGTTTTATTGTGGTTACATACACATGCAACTCACTGTTTAATTACTTTGAAGTGTACAAACCAGTGGAATTTAGTACATGCAGAATTTGGGTAGCTATCACCATCCAGACCCAGAGCACATTTTTATCACCAAGAGGAAATGCGGTCCCATTCAAACAGGCACGTGCTCTTTCTCTGAGCCTCGGCA